GAAGAAGAAGAAGAAGAAGAAGAAGAAGAAGAAGAAGAAGAAGAAGAAGAAGATCAAATAACAATAACTACAACAACAACATCAGCAACAATGATAGCTATAAAAACAAACCAAAAAACTATAAATTTAACGATAATTATAATTATAAAAACGACTACAATTATAGCAGCAAAGAGAGAATAGGAGGCCGGGGATTTTTGTTACTAATTTACTTTAGAACTTCTATATATCTATAATCCACTTCCGTCATTGTCTCCTCAGAGAGTCGGCCGGCACCATGCTCAAACAGACCTCCAACTTGTCTTCTCTCCTGATCGCCTCGCGGGTCTTCTCCTCGGCCTTGCTGTATACTATCATCGCAAGCACCAACCTCGTATCCAGACTTATATTCCAGCCCAATGACACCCAGATACTTGGCTTTTTCACAGCTATTCTGAGTTCGCTAATCGTTCTGGAGACGATTCTCTTCAAGTCTTATGACGCGTCTGAAATCATGATGCGCGCTTCCGCTGGCCTTCCATTCAGTCCTTTGACGCCATCTTCCATCAACCTCATGATGCAGAACCCTATCAATCTGTTTGTTTACGTGAGCTCTGTGGAGGAGTCTGTTACTGCTACTCATATCAAGAAAAATTATTCAGATTCGGATGTGCCTGCCACCATATTTCTTGTGGGAACGTGGGTTTGCACTGTGGCTTTCGGCTCCTCAGAAAATCTCGTGCACCGCAAAATTGGAGTTCCGTTCTTTCATGTCGGTCTTTGGCTCGTGACGTTTCTACGAAGTAGATATTCAGCGAACGAGGGGAAGGACTATGATTTTGAGTCGTTTCCTTCTTTGGACACTTTTGGATGGGTGGTTCTTTTATTCAGTATCATTTTACCTTTAGTGAGGTTAGAGAGAGAAGAATCTGACAACATTCTCCCAATCAGTGACCGACCGTTTCCTCAGCGCTTATGGCGTAGGATAAATACGCCATTTGTACAAGTACTGCTAAGATTGGCTTCCCTTGTTGTCATGGTAGCTGTCTCCACGTGGTGCTGGCAAACTGCCAAGCAGGAAATAGCTTCTGTGTGTGAAACTCCAGTGCCAGATTTTCACCTTCAGGTATGAGCTATTTATAACTCCAAAGTATGTCACAAGATGTTGTTTTGGTTGTTTCTTTAACGTCGGTGTTTTTACGCCCCATCGACAGTTCGGCTAAAACAGCACCTGGACATGGATGGCTGGTGCCTCTATAAATAAATTATTGACAGTCAGGTCAGTTAGGCAGGCTTCGACCCTGGCTGTCAGGATCAACCTACTCAGAGAAGGAAATGACGTCCGGACAGAAGACTGAGAGAAATGGTGGATAAAAATTCTCCCAACACGAGTTCCACCTTTGAATATTAGAGGACCAAAAGATTGATAGTTTGCGCCTCCATAAATAAATTACTTCAGGAAAAATTGGCCGAAAACGAAAAGCTATCTGTCATTAAAAGCGAGTGCCTCTGAAAATATTATAATTTTATCAAAAATGTTATTACTTGGTGTTAAGCCCATGGGGTAAAAAGCACTTAAAACATCATATAAACTGTATTATTATTAGCTCTCTGGTTCTGAACGGGCCAGGATGTTTGCAGAAGGTGTAACAGCAACTCGCGACCGCGAAGGGTAGAGGGTCATGACACGTCAAACTCTGAGTCAGAGATGACACCTCCAGGTACAAGTCCTGGTCAACTCTGGCATGCATTTAAAAAAAACAGCACCTAAATACAGACAAGTGATTCGGGAAAGAACTAGATGTAGATCTATTCCTTATTTTGATTTTGGATGCTATTTTGTTCTTGTCCTTTTTAAGGGGTGGGTTGTTTTGTTTTGGGAAGTGTTTTTAAGAGGGGGGGGGTTGTGGGTTTGTTTGTTTTTGTTTGTGCATTTTTTGGGTGGGGGTGGGGCTTTTTCTTTTGTTGGTGGGTTGTTGTTGTTATTGTTATTGGGTTTTTTTTGTTTGTTTGTTGTTGTTGTTGGGGGGTTGTTGTTG